CTAGGTTTAAAGACGCAAGCTACTGTCTCGTTGGCCAATCAGAAAATGCAATGAGCTTTAAATACGACTATTACCGTCGAAATATCTGGTCAGTCCGGAGGGTAGAATTTGGAAGGTTGAGGGTCTCCTTTTTATCAGGTTATGGCTGAAGGGGGGAGGGAGGAAAAGTCGTCCTCTGACACCGAAGGACAGAATTATTTTTGAACTTGGCTTTCTGCGTTTCCCGTGTCCCTTTATTTATAGTATTCAGTCAAATGTCTTTTTAAAAATTGAATTTTCAGCATAAAACTTCCCACTCCTCACCCGCTTCGTTTTATCAGGTACTACGATCACCGGAGGCTTGCCCATGATAAGGAAAAGAAAACAATCACGGGAACAAAACGCGTAAGCTTCCATTTCTGCCAGTCAGATGACTTTGGGGGCTTGATTTCGGTTTTAATTGGTCTTGCAGTAGTCTGTAGAAACTGTTTCGGACTCTGAAAAGTCAATTTGACAATCATATGCTTTCATTAATTCATCACCGGGCCTTTACAATTACATGGATAATGAAAATATGAGGATTGGACGGGGTTTATGAATGCGTAATGTTTAGTAATCATCGTTCTTCCTTAGCCCGCATGGTGAGGTCGGCATAAGGACAAGGAATATTAATCATAAGACATTAATAAACCCCGTGCAACCTTCATTGTTTAAGAGTGGCAGAGTTGGGACTCTCAACTGCGTCGCCAATGTTGTAACGGTGACAAGCTGATGATGTCACCGCCTGAATACGTCCTGTTTGAATCCCCAAGAAAGAACACAACACCAACAACAAAGGCGTAAAAGTGAAAGCCACTTGAATGAGGGTTTTTATTGTGTACAGAACTCGGAGTTGTTCTCTTGGCTGGCAGTGGCCGCGGGCCAAGCCCGGGCTGATGTTGACTGCTTCCAGTCACACCTGAGAATGTCTGCAGGTCTCTGTCAGTTCGTGTGCAATTCTCTATGTGAGATGTGGCAGTTGCTTATAAGTGATTGTTAAGCGAGTTTAAGTGTTGCATGATTGTTGCGTGTATTACTCTAGGGGTGTCGGGTATTGAGATCACCTGCTTCGTGGCGGGCCTAGGTGGCTCTTGAGGAACGGCGACTAGTTGGGCTCGCGTGCGTGTGCGTACGTGTGTGTACGAGTGAATGTCCATTCCCCAGTTTAAGGTTACCGGCGAAGAGATATGGGCTAAAGACCATTCGCATTGAACAATGAATCATTGTTTGCTGTCGGCCACAGAAACGACCGGTCAGGAGAGTCTGCAAGCAAGCAATCGGTTAGGTTGGGCTCCTAACCCCCATAATTTTATGTTTGCAATTGTTTAGGCCTGATGATGAATTGCCGAAAACATTTGTTCGCCGAATTAATCTTCTTGATGTATTAATTCACCACAGTTTTCTTATCACTATTATTCTCGAGATAACCTCATAAAAACATCTTCCATTCACCATAAACAGGCCTTGAAGATGGCCTCGAAGAAGGCTGAAAAGACGAAGACCCAAGTCGCTGGAGTCCAACGGATTTCTAAAACGCGCGAACCCTTCTGGTAGGCCACTTATTGACCTTCCTTCCCCCATTCTGGCTTCACTGTTTACCACTGTATTCTTTTTTGCCGCCAAAAACCTGTCACCAACCCTTCCTCCTCTCCGTATTTGCTGTGTTGCACACACAGGTTCGAGAAATTCCACTGGTTCATCAGCTCCGACAACTACCTCGTTCTGGCAGGTCGTGATGCCGGTCAGAATGAGAACTTGATTAAGCGTTACTTCAGGCAGCATGATATCTACGTGCACGCAGACGTCCACGGCGCCAGCAGCGTCATTGTAAAGGCACGCCCCCTGCAGCCCAATGAACCGCCAGATCCATGTACGTTGCCTTAAATTTTGGTTATGATGTCTTCTGTTTGTTGTAAATGTAGGCAAAAGCCGAGCTATTACCGTTTAATGTGTGAGCCCCCGAGGAAGAATACAACAAGGTGGGTGCATAAGTATAGGTCCTTTTTTTCGTACCTAGTACAGCGTACTTATGACGAGCAAAGCGTACATAATTGGACTAATCAGATTGGGGCCTCAAGTGGC